TTTAGCATTGAACCTAGGACTTCCTACTCGGTGGGACTCAGGGCTTGATGGAAGCCGGGGGCATCAGCCTTTCAGATTTGATGGTTGTTGGGTCTGTCCGGTATCCATCTTCTGACAATTCCAGGTCTCTGGGGCCTGACAGGCGTCTTAGGAATAGTGGCCAGCTGACCTGGGCCCACTGGAACCCCCTGTTGTGCTCTGCCCGTTTTGGTGGGATACCCAGCAGGTAGGATATAACTACCTAGTGGGCCAAAGGGAAAAATGGGATCAGGAGACATCCTGTTTGGGGGATATTCAAGTTTGATGGGAGTCAGAGCCTGCAGGCTTCCCAACTCTCTGACAGGCAAGTGCACCAATGGCTTCTTCCCAACCTGTGAACCCTACTGTGCGCCCTGCCCCATCCCTTTTTGGTGGGACATCCCTAAGGAAGACTGGCCAGAGGTCCCATGGATACAGTGGGAACTGGATACTGACCTGGGTTGGCATACTATTCCACCTTAGGTTAGCTAAGAGCTGTCCCAGGAACAGGAGCCAAGTGGCTTCAGGCCTCTGGAAATCCCTGCTCCGTCCCACCCATTTTGGAAGGAAATCCAGCATGTTGGACATGACTTGGGATTAGTTCAAGGGGAGTGATGGGAACAGAATATCCCATTTCATGTTTGATGGGAGTTGAGTCTCCCCTTGGCCTCTCAATCCTCCAGTGAAAGGAACAAGGTCACAGTGGGCTCAGGCTTTTGAGACCCCCTACTGTGCCTGCCCCTTTTTAGTTGAGCAGGCAGGTGGCAACGCCCTAGTGGGCCAAAAAGAATATTGGGGTCAGGGCCATATCTCCCTTCAGATTTGATGGGAGTGGGGTCTTATGGCTTCCCAACTCTCTGACTTCTTAGTGAGAGGAAACTCCAACAAATGGGCTCTCCCTCTGGGACCCCCTGCTGTGTCCCACCCATTTTGGTGGGAAATCTGGCCTTTAGGACACAACTCCCTTTTGAACCAAGGGAAATTATGGGGAAAGGGGGACATCTCAAAATTTGATGGGAGTTGGGGCCCACAAGGCTTCTCAACTCTCTGACATCTTGTAATAGGAAATGCCACCAAATGGCCTCCCCCCTCTGGGACCCCCTGCTGTGTGTCTACCTCAAACCATCATTTTGTTGGCAGGAGTTCATACAGTCAAACTGGCCGGTGGTGACAAGGACCTTGTGGGTGTGGGAGACTGAGGGAAAGATGGGGGACACAGACTTTTCAGGTGAAGTGAAAGGTATCCCAGGAACAGAAGTCAGGTGTCCTGAGGCCTCTGATAACCCCTGCTGTGTTCAGTGGCATTCTGGGAGGAAATTGAGCAGGTAGGATGCTAGTACTTGGTGGGCCAAGGAAAATGATGGAAGAAAGGGGGATGTCCTGCTTTAGATATGATAGAATTTGAGATTCTCCCCCTTCTGGCCTCTCTGACCTCTGGGATAGGAACAGGGGTGAGATGGCTTTATGCTTCTGGGACCTCATGCTATATACTCTTAGCGCAGGGGTGGGGAACCTATGGCCTCTACAGCCTCGAGGCCACATGTGGCCCTCTAGGTCTTCACGTGCGGCCCTTTGACTGAATCCAAACTTCACTTCATTTTTGATGGAAGTTGGGGCCCAAACTGACCAATCTGACCTCAGACTAGAGAAAGAGGTGCAAAGTAGCCTCATCTCTGGGATCCCCTGCTGTATCCCCTCCACTTCTGGTGGGAAATTGGGCATGCAGGTGCTAACTACCTAGTGGGCCAAGAGAAACAATGCGCTCAAGAAGGTCTTATCCTGAATAGAAGTTGGGAGACATAGCCCCTTCATGTTAGGAAAAAAGTTTGCAGGAATTGGCCAGTTGTCCTGGGGCTTCTGGGACCCCCTACTCTGTCCAGAGACATTTTGGCAGTAAATAGGACAGGTACATTATAAGTACCAAAGATAACAATGGGATGAAGTGGAATAGCCCCCTTCATTTATGATGGAATTTGGGACCCTCTGCCTTCTGGAGTCTCTGAACTCTGGTAAAGGAACGGTGAAATCGCCTCCGGTCACTGGGACCCCCTGCTGCGTTCCATCTATTTTGGAAGATCTGCCCTTCAGGACCAAGGGAAATGATGGGGAAAGAAGGACATCCCTCTTAAAGTTTGATGGGAGTTGGGGCCTTTGGGCTTCTCAACTCTTTGACCACTAGGAACAGGAAACTTCACCAAGTGGCCTCCCCATTTTGGGGACACCCTGCTATGTGTCCACAACACCCCCTCCCTTTGTTGGCAAGAGTTCATGAAGTCACACTGGCCAGTGGCATAAAGGACCTAGTGGGTTTGAGAGACTGAAGGGAAATTGGGGGACATAGCCCCTGTAGGTAAAGTGAGAGGTGTCCCAGGAACAAGGGCCAGGTGTTCTGGAGGGAAATCTAGTGGATAGGACACAACTATCAGTTGGGCCAAGAGGAATGATGGGAGCAGGAGGCTATTCCCCATCCTATTTGACGTGAGCTGGAACCTGCAGGCTTCCCAACTTCCTGCCCTGTAGTAAAAGGAGACTCAGCCCAATGTCCTCCCGCTCTGGTACTCTTGCTTTGTACCCACCTACCCCTTCCCCTTTTGGGTGTAGGGCCCCAAGCCAGGCTGAGCCAGAGTCCTGGGAATCGGACATTGACTGGTATTGGGAGGGCAGGACTATTCCGCTTCTCGTTTACTGAGAGGTGTCTCATGAACAAGGACCAGATGTCCTGGGGCTTCTGGGATCCCCTTTTTTGTCCTGCCAATTTTGGTGGGATATCCAGCAGGTCAGACAGAACTACTTATTGGGCCAAGGGAAATGATGGGTATAGGGGAATTTCCCCCTTCAGGTTTACTGTTAGGTCCCTCTGTCTCATGGCCTATCAGACCTCCAGGGACAGGAACCAGGGCGGAATGGTCTCAGTATTCTGGGCTCCTTGCTGTTTCCCCTCCACTTTTGGCCAGAAATCCGGCAGACAGGGCAGGCAGCAACTACTTAGTGGGCCAATGGAAATCATGGGAACTGGAGGATATCCCCTTTAGGTTTGATGGGAGTTGGGGCTTGCTGACTTCCCAACTCTCTGTCCTCTAGTAATAGGAAACTGTGTCCAATGGCCTCCCACCTCTGGTTTCCCTTGCTATGTGTCCACTCCACACCCTCCCTTTTTTGGCAAGAATTTTACATTCAGATTGGTCACCCTAGTAGTGGATTTGGGAGACTGAAGGGATGTTGGGGGACTTAGCCCCTTCAGGTTAGGTGAAAGGTGTCTGAGGAATAGGGGCTAGCTGTCCTAGGGCCTCTGGAATACCCTGCTGTGCCTGACCTATTCTGATGGGAAATCTGGCCTGTAGGACACAACTACTTAGTGGAACAAGGGGAATGATGGGAGTAGCGGGATATCCCTTTTCACATTTAATGGGAGTTGGAACCCACAGGCTTCCCAACTTATTGATCTCCCAGAACAGGAAACTCGCCCCAATGTCCTTACCCTTCTGGTAAGGGTACACCCCTGAGGTGTGCCAACTCTTTCCCTTGCCCCGATTTGGGAGTTCATGCAGGTAGGTTGTATAGTGTTGTCAGAGACCTAGTGGGGGATGTAGGCCCTTCAGGTTAGATAAGAGGCATCCCAGGAACAGGGCCAGCTGTCCCGGGACCCTGGAACCCCCTGCTGTGTCCCCCCCCCTTTTGGTGGGAAATCCAGCAGGTAGGCTGCAATACTTGGTGGACAAAATGGAGCAGTGGGACACCTCCCTTCAGATGTGATGGGAGTTGGGGCCCCTCCTGGCCTCTCTGATTTTGTATGACAAGAACATATGCCAATTAGTCTCAGGCCTCTTGCACCCCTGCCTGTGCCTCACTCTCTTTTGGTAGGAGTTCAGGTGGGTACTTGGTTGGAGCCTTGGGGATCTAGTGGAGTTGGGAGCCTGAATGGTGGGTGGGGAACATAGCCCCTTCAGGTTTGCTGGAAGTTAGGGCCCCTTGGCTTCCTGCCTCTCCCACCAGGTCAGCCTAGGACCAGCTACTTGGTGGGGCTGGAGGTCTGAGGGAAGAAGGGGGACATCACCCCTTTAGTTTTGGCAGGTCAGGCTTCTCCCCAGAGGTGTCAAAGAGAGGTGGAGGTTTATGTGGGAAGCTCACAGCCCCAACTTCCCCCTTATTTCACAGGTGCAAAGTCTGAGATGGAGGGCTGAGGCCAGCTGGTGTTTGCTCCCGTCAAACCCCGGTTCTGAGAGTTGCCCCAAGTCTCAGCAAGCCTCAGGGAGTGCCAGGTCTGCCAGGAGTGAGGCTGGCTGGCCCCAACTCCTGCCAAACTTTGGGAGCGCTAGGGCTCGAGGCCTGAGAACATCGAGAGGAGGTGAGGCCAGCTGGGACCTTGTGAGGAGAGATGGGCCAGGCTGGATGGGCGCCAGGCCTGAGAGGAGACATGAGGCCTGAGGGTGGGAGACCTGCTGGGACCCCTGAGGGGAGAGGCGCGAGGCTGGCTGGGACCCGATGCCCAAAGTAAGGTCCAAAGTCGGGAGAGGCGCGAGGCCTGCTGCCCCTGCTGCCCTCCATGCCTCAAGTCCCTCACGCTCTCACACTGAAATACTCACACACGTTGCCCCTCCTTCCCAGCCTCGCACGTGGAGAGGATCAGGTCCCTGCACAGCTCTGCCCAGAAAAAGGCAGCAGAGGGAGAAGCCCTGTGCGGAGCTGGCTGGGGCTGGGGCTGGGGGAGGGGGGCGGTGGCTACAGAGGCCGAAGCGGAGGGGGAGGAGAGTGAGAAGGAGAGCTGGCCAGAGAGCGCACGAGAGCCAGCCAGCCCAGCCGGCAAGTAAGTACGCAGAGCGCATGCGCCGGGATAGCACTGCGGAGGGCGAGGGGAGGGAGGAGAGCCGAGCGTGCTCGGGCAGCGACAGCTGCATCTGCATCCCGGGTCCCCTCCCCGTCGCCTCCTCCTCCTCCTCCTCCTCCTCTCCTCCTCCTCCTCCTCTCCTCCTCCTCCTCCTCCTCCTCCTCCTCCTCCTCCTCCTCCTCCGCGTCCCAGTCCATCTCCGGCCAGGCACCGTGAGCCCCAGGTCGGGCGGCAGCCGCAGCCTCTCCTGCACCAGTCTGCGCTAAGAGGTCACGTTGCGGCACCCGGGTCTCCACAGAGGTAAAGGGGAGGGGGCAGGGGACACCCGACCGGGCTATCGCAGCTCCCTCCCTGGGACCGGCGGGGGGTGGGGTTGGGGCGATCAGGGCTTCGGCACCTCCTCCTCTTCCTCTAGCCAAAGCCTGGGGAGGAAGGAATTAGGTTGAGGGTCCCTGATCCGTGTGTGCGCTGTCCCCCCACCCCCACCCCGATCAAACGGACAATGCAGTCTTTATAAAAACTTAGGGTTTCCTTGTCCTCATAGCCGGGCCTTTTCGGTAAGGGGAGAAGATTGGCTCGGCGCTAGACTCCCTTTCCCCTTTTAAGGATGGACACACGGTGCTGTTTTCCCCTCTTTCCAAGGGAGAATGGATGGGAGGATGGGAGCCCTTCCTTACAAGGGGCTGAGGTATTCTTCCTCAGTCCAACCCCGTGGGGCAAATCCTTGGGAAACTGAGGTGAGGTGAGGAGAGGGCATGTTTCTTGGTGACATGTATCCACCCAGATTCCTGGCCCCAGTCTCAGAGTGGCCCTTTCCTCTGTGGTCTTCATATTTTGTACTCCATCTCCCTACCTCTCACTCAGCACTCCAGGATGGAGGACCCAGAAGGGCTTTCCTTGGAAATCAGGACTAACAGTGAGTCAGGAGTGGACCCCAGTTTTGGCTGGTACCACCCTGGTATTTGAGCAGGAGGGGGAAAGAAGTGTGTGCTGCACTCAGGGCTCTCCTGACTGACCATCCAGGGCCTGGGAGGTGGGGTATGGCTGCAGGATGAAAAGAGCAGCCCTAGTGCCCCTAGGGAATGCTAGGGCACTAAGCACCCTGATTTTGGTAGAGGGGGAGAGGATTTGAGATCCACTGTGGGCCTGAGAGTGGGAGTAGAGAGGGCTGAGAATCTAGTCTCTTGGGGAGCAAAAAGGCGTATCAGAGGCACTCCCATAAGGGTTGCTGCAGTTAGTTGTCCGCGGAGGAGGGCAGGGCAGAGTGCTGCTGGGCAGCACACCTCTGGAGAGCCCCTGGGTGCTGCCATCAGTCACTTGGCCCATTCCTCTGCTGTCTTTTGCTGCAGTGCAATGAAGTGCTCGGGTTGGGCATCTGGCCAGCTTGCTGCTGACCCTGGCCAAAGGACCCTGACCGCAGATACCCAGGCAGTTTCCTTGGAGGGGACTAGGTCTCTAAAAGCTCACTGTATTTTGCTGGAAAACTGGGCTTGAGTGGATGGGCAATAGATGGTGTGGAGCCTAGGTGTGAGGGAATGGGTGGGTGGGGGAGGGAGAGAGGCTCAGTAGCCCCTGGTGCAGATGCATTTCATCTTTTGTAGGTTTCTGGGTTCATCCTCTCTTCTTCTGTTGCCCCACCCTGACCTCCTCTTGCACCATTTAGTGTGATGTCTAATTGTTTTCTCCTTGGTTTTGTGTGGAGTGTAAAGAGCAGTGGGCTAGGAAGCGAGAGACCTAGGTGCTGGGACCAGCTCTTCCCCTAACTGGCTGTGTGACCTTGGGCAAGTCACTTGCTGTTCTGGGCATTGGTTTCTTTCTGTAAAAGGACTAGATGGTCTTTGGGGGGACCTAATAGTCCTAAGATTCCACAAGTGTATGCTTGTTTTGTCTGCACTACTAGATTGTAAGCTCTTGAAGGAGAGACGGCAGGATTGGGATCTGATTGTTCTTTGTCTTCCCCGCAGTGCCTGCACACAGTAGGCTTTCAGTGCCTACTTGTTGATGGTTTGGGAGCCTGAGAGCTGGGCTTTCCTGCTCAGCTGTGAAGGGTTTCAAATGGCTTCAGAGCAGTAGGGGAGTTGGGTCTCATTGTTTCTCTGCACTGGGCCAAGCTGGCCAGATTTCCAAACAACATTTATATGCCATGGGTCAGCTTTTTTTCCCTTCCTTTTTATTGTGCTTCCGATGAGGAGCTGTCACAAGATGGAAAATATCCCCTAGGCCAGAATGCAATGGTAATACAGGGGCTTAGGGAACCTGGAGCTGCATAGGCAAGTGTAGGCTGGCAAGATGGATTTCGATCTCCTTCTTGCCCCCATGACTGACTGTTATTTCCCATCCCCTGCCAGGGACCCACAGTCACACTGGACAGAGGATCCCTGAGTTGTCTTTATTGACTTATGGTGCAGCTAGAAAGGAGAAGGAAGAAGGGAAGCCACTCACCTTCCCCATTCAGGGTGTGTGTGTGTTGGAGAGGGGCAGTGCAGATGAGGCAGAGCTGGAGTTATGGGCATAATCTCTATCCTTCAGGTTATGGGTATCATGATGCTGAGCTTCTGAAAGTCAAGAGGAAAGATGAATGTGTACCCTTTAATACCCTGTGATCAGTAGTTCTGTCAAGAGGTGGTACATGGGGGGGTGAGGTAGAAGGGAGGGCAGATTAGGGAGGGGGTATACAGAATGTATGCCATCTTGGGGTGGGGGAGGGATGAGATGGGGAGAAAATTTGGAACTCAAAATCTTGTGGAAGCGAATGTTGAAAACTAAAACTAAATAAATAAAAATAATTGTAAAAAATAAATGAATAAAATAATTTTTAAAAAAGAGGTGGTACATCAACTAATTAGCTATTGAGCAAGTCATTTCCCCTTGCCATATCTTAGTTTACCCATCTGTAAAATGGGAGGGGGTTTAGATAAAACAATCTATGAGGTGTCCCCTCTGGCTCTGTTTATAAATTCATTTCATGCTGGACCCTGGAGTCTCCCTGACTGCTTGGTTCTGTGGCCTTTCTCATCTTGGAAGCTTTTGGAACCAAGCCATGTTCCCCATGGTACCCCCTCCTTACAGGGGGACCCTGGATAAGCAGATTTAGTCTCATAGATTCTCAATTGAGTCGAACAGAATTCTCCAAGTCATACAGATTCCCTCATCCTCACCCCACCTCCCCTTGGCTTAAAACACCCTGAGAATTGTGTCAATCTTGGCTCCCCTCTGGCTCTGCGGCCCTGGACTGAATTGTCATTTACTGTAATTACTTAGGGATTTGCCCCTAAGAGACCAATCAGTCTGTTTATACCACAAGATCATAGTATTATCCAGCTAGAGATGAAAGGGGCTTTAGTAAGGCCATCTGGTGCATCGACCTCATTTTACAGATGTGGAAACTGAGCCCCAGAGAGGGGAAGTGACATGTCCTTGATCACCCAGGTAATAGTTGAGTCCAGATCTTTGGATCTTTTCTGCTGTATCGTAGGGAGTTCTCAGCAAGAAACCCCAGATCAGATGTATAGGGATGAGCTCATAATAGCCACTGAACATAGCTTACTTGACAGGACCATAGGATTTAGAGCTGGAAAGGACCTCAGAGATCAGGTCTGATCCTCTCAATATCCAGAGGAAGAAACCAAAGATCAGAAAGGTAAGACTTAGCCAAGGTCAAGGCAGTTAGTGGCAGAGCTTGGATGGAACCTGGGTCCTCTGCCTGATGTTCTGTAGCATTTAAAAGCAATGTCATGCTCAGATAATTCCAGAGAAAAAGCCTCTCTATGGGGTCCCTCTGAGGTCTTTCTAAGTCCTTTAGATGGCTCTGTCTCAGGGGGTAGTAAGTTCCCCATCACTTGGAGCTAGGTAGAGGCCACTTGTTGGGCATGACAGGAAGCAAAATCTGAGGCCTCTTGTTATATTTATTGTTATTATTATTATTATATGGAGGGGAAAGCAACTGAAAGGGTTCCTGAGGGCAGTGATTGCTGAGAGAAGCCCTCTTAATAAACATCGCTGAAGAGGAAATGTTCTTTCTTGGAATGAGTAAGGGGCTCCAACCCTCTAGAACCTGGGCAACAACATTCTCCCTTGGGTTTGAGGAGTAGCCGTGCTAGTTTGTGGCAGTTTCATCTTTGAAGGAATGTTGAATTTCTGTGGTAATTTATTGGGAAATTCCGAAGCTATGAGTTCGATGACCAGCATTAGTAGCAATTCTGAAATGAATTTGTATCGTTTGTCCCTTTTACATATGTATTTCTAGTTAACAACTTTCCTCATACAAAAGGCAAGCTCTCTGTGCCCAGGGCATAAAATAGGGACTTAGTAGAGTAAGTCTGAATTAGTGCTTTCAAGAGGTTTGGTGCTGAAGCCTGGCTTCTGCATGGCAGTGTACTGGAAGGAACACTGGCATTGGAGGCCAGATACCTGGCTTCGAGTTCGAGCTTTGTCACTGAACGAGGTATGTGACCCTGGCTAGCCCTCAGTTTCGTCCTTTTGAAAAAGACTGGATGAGATGAGGCCCCTTCTGGCTTGAATGCACCACATTATAAATGCTTTTTATTGGGGATGGAACACGATAAAGAGAAATATGCTTGTCTTTGGATGGAGAACTCACAACTCTGTGTGTGTGTGTGTGTGTATGTATGTACCTTGTTTAACATTTTTAGAAATTCTTTTGGGGGTGGAGGGGAATCACATCACGCAGTCTCCAAGTTTGCAGATTATGCCAGCTTCTTCTGGGTAGGAATATGCCCATGAAAATAAGCCATGAGAATAAAGGAGCCCATATGAGTGGGCAGAAAGGCAGCAGATGAGCTGCAGTGTGGGCAGGGGTGGCAAGCTAATGCATTTAAGGAAGAGCTCGCCAAGCTGTGCTTACAGAACCATGGGCTCTGAGCTAATTATGATCCGAGAAAGGGATCTGGGCATCACTGTGGACTATTCCCTATGCCCTAGCCCTCTGGCTTCTGTAGCCACACAGTTCTGGGCCTCACTAAAGACAGAATGAGAAAAAGGATGAGGCCTAGGAAACAACATGGCTGACTAGTTCTGGGCCAGATGATCCCAGTGACCATATTTTTTAACCAGAATTAGGACACGTGATATGAGAAGGGAAATTACTTTTGAGTCCAGACCGACTTGATTTCGAATCCGGCTCTAACACTAACTTTCGGACTTTGGGTATGTCACCTTAACCTCTTTGCCTCCTGGGGATAACAATTCTCGAATTCTTTATCTCCCCAGAGTTGGGGAGACAATCCTTTGTGAAATCTGAAGTACTATGGGAAAGGGAGTTGTGATAGCCCCAAGGAGGA